TATATATGTATATATATGTATATATATCATTATTATCAAGCTGAAATTCCTTGAAAGTCAATGACACAAGTTGAACCTTTGACCCCATCGTCACATTTGTCACTGACGTGGAGGACTCCAGGGATGAAACTGAGGCCGGAGAATGAGGTGGCAGCCTACATTGAGTTCAAGACACTCAAGGAGTATCCTTCTGAGGTTTTATGGTGGTGGAAGGAGCATGCTAAAATGTTTCCTAACCTGGCAGTGATTGCACAGAATGTTTTCACCATTTGATCTTTTTTCTCTTTTTTTGTAATTCAAGAACGGAGAACTCAGCTTAATGTGAGTGACTGTAGCCTGTGTGTGTTAAATCACAGGTGCGGGTCAGGTTGCAAGACTTTTATTAACGGGTGCGAGTGTGGTTTTGACTTAGACATAATGACAGGTAACGGGTTGGTTCTGGTACTGAGCTTTACGGGTATGGGCAGGTTTTGAAAAATGGACCCATGCAGGACTCTGGTCACTGAAGGGTGTTGTGCAAAGTACAACAGATGTAAACAGTTGCAGGGCTGGAAATTAGCAGCAACCATCAGCAAAATGCTGGTAAAATATGCAAGTGGCTGCTAGATTTTCTTCACTCACCAGCCAAAAAGACAAATATAATCTACTGAGTGGCTGGTAGATTTGGAATCCACCAACCCCATTGGCAGGTGTACAAAAAATTTACATTTTACGTTCGATTACGTTTGTTCTATTATTACAGATGTTTTTACCCAAAAACAAGTATTGATCAACTGTTAATGAGGTCACTGGATGTTCTTTTGTCTGATGATTTCTCACTTGACATTGTTGCCTTCTCCATCCTTCTCTTTCCAACCTGTAGAATATGACATGCCCACTGATGTCATCACAATTCACACTTCAGGTCAAGAAAAACCTGCTATTTGTTGGTTAAAGCTAAGAACCAACTTTTCAGGTTCTGGACCAATATATCTTTGATTAAAGTGCTCTGAACGGTTCAAAATTAAAAGTGGGAACCTGAACAGAACCAGTTCCACATCGGTGGAAAAGGGGTTAAAGATAGCCAAGTCACATGTTTTCATTTGCAGACCTCCAATATGGTCATTTAAAATCCCCCTGTACATGATGAGTATGGTTGTGTGCCTGCTTTATGTGTCTGTGCATACCTTCATGTGTGTTCAGTGTCATCAGCAAGGTGGAGTCTCACATGCACAAATGTCACACTGGTGTACAGGAAGTGTGTGTTTCAGGGCAAAATGCTTCTTGACTCATCAAGCAGCCAGACTTAAGCAAGCAAGTGTATCAAGATGCTGTATTAATGTTGTAAACTGATACCGATTTCCATCATGCATTCCCAGTATTCCACCAAAAATGTCAAGACTAATTTTCACCAGTCATGGCTGGAAAACATGCTGTAAACATCGCAATGCATCTAACAAATCACTTTTCCCCCTCCAGTTTCATGTCCCTTTATATATCTTTTTAGAAACATACCATATAGTATTAAACAGGCTTGTAAAAAGTGGTGTGGTAACCATAGAAATTGTATCATATTTTAGAAAGACTAGTTCTGTTTTTTAGAAAAGAAAGACACTTGTTGAGGTTCCTGGGACTGACGTGGGAGTAGTAAGGTGAATGACTGACAGCAGAACTGACCAATAGCCATTCAGGGACGAGCGCGACACGAGAACACACATGGTCAGTGTAAAGGCCAGTCAGTAGTTGTACACTTCACTCTCATCACCTAAATGATGTTTTTCATTTTATACACAGTCACTAAAAGAAACCCAACTGTCCCTGAAGGTAGAATCATGAAAAATAATACTTAGACTTCAGCTAAAACAGATCCAATAAAAGAAGTGTGTGGCTACGTAAAACAACTGCCTGTAAATAAAACCCTCTGCACTCAGATCAGCAGGGAGTTATGGAGAAGAGTAGAGAGGCCAAGCAATATTTAACAGTCAAAATGTCCATCCAAAGTATTTGTGTGTTAGGTGCTGTACTCAGTGTGTGTGGGGGTGGTTTACCCAGGAAGATGAATGTCTTTCTGGCTTTCCAAACTGAATTCCCCTGCTTATCTCCCCCCTCCAGAGTCGTTCTCTTTCAGACTTCTCCTCTGCTGCCGCTCTCCTCTACCTTCTTTATATCCATTCATCCACTGAGCACTCATCCAGTCATTCATTCTTCTCTCCCTTTAATCAGTAAAACTGCATTTTATCTGTCAGGCAGCTCCATATCTGTAAACTGTTAATCTCCTCTTCTCTTCCTGGTCATCTGCCACTCTTCCATGGCAGTATTTTCAAAAAGTTCAGGGGGCTCACTCTAAGGCTCCTCTTCCCCGGTGGAAACAGCCAATCGCATGGCCACAGACAGGTGGTCGGTGAGGCCAGCCAACTGGGTGACGAAGCTGAACTCCTCGATTTCCTGCAGGAGGAGAAGAGAATGACATCAAGCCATAATGAGCTCACCTTTTTATTTTTCACAACTTTAAAGCTGCCCTTATTTATGTTTTGGCCACTTGAAGGCAACAGCTCAAATATCAGCATATAAAGCTGTTATAGTGAAGGTGTTAGCAAACAGTCATCTATTTACTCATCCAACAGACACACAGCAACATTAGCATTTGTTTTCTGTCATATGTCTGGTCACTCTACTGTCTCAAAGTGTTTGAGACCATAAATAAAGAGATTTTTAGCTTTTCAAACAATGATTAGTAAAGGCCGATTTATACTTGTGCATCTGCTGTATGCAGAGCCCACGCCATTGTGAGCATTTATACTTGTGTGGTGGTGTCAGTGTCATTCTGCAGTTATACCTTCACAACACTAGAAGGCCGTGGGGTTTCTATGAAGTGCTATAAAGTTTAGTTGATTCAAAACAAACCCAAAACACACATTAAACATGGCTTAATAGAGACAATTTAAAACACAAGAACACAAATCGGCATCATTATATCTCACAGGATTCACAGACAAAACACTTTGCAGGGAAAATGTGTCCAGCAAAAGACAACATGCTAACGTTATTAGCACAAGCCTATGGCATTTTACATTTTATAAATTAGCCTAGCAGCTATAAGACTTTTTGCTGTATTCATATAAAGCCAAGAACAATAGCAACATTTAACAAAGGTAAAGTTACAAAATTGGCCGCATCACAATTCACAAGATTCACAGACAAACCAACTTTCTTATACTAAACATATTTCCAAACAAATACAACATGCTAATATTTTTTTAGCACAAGCCTATGGCACTTTACATTGTAGTTATGCTATGTAGCGTGTGAAATAGAGTATGGTGAATGTGCTAGTAAAGGTAGTATCAGCATTGCTTCTGCCTGGAGCTCGCATAAACGGAGCCTGGGCTTGGTTGAAGTTGGCAGTGCTGTTTGGGCTGAGATCACTGTCCAGCCTCCTGGAGGTGTCATTGTTGTGAGGGCTCGTCCTGGGGAGGTAGACTGTACAGCCTAACCCGGCGGGGGAGTGTGATAGCCTAACAAGGCTTCCTTCCCTGGGTCTACCTCCTCTGTGGTAGTATAGGTAAGGTAAAGGAGGTTGTTCGGTTAGTGTGGGGAGCAGTGAGACCTGGCATTAGGGGAGTGTCTCTGGGACGCCAGAGATCACTGTCTAGCCTCCTGGAGGTGTCGTGGGACTAACTAGACGAAACACCGGTGAAAGGAGGTTCCCACCCGATGACCCCAAAGACATGTTAGTTATCACTGCTCACGGGTCTGTATAGTTAAGCCTTGCCATAATAGCTTATCGTAGGGCTTAGGAGGATTATTCACTGAGTGCTGATCCCTTTTTTTTTTTTTTTTATTAGAGCACAAACTTCTTGTGTTTATTTGAATTCAGAACTAGCCCAGCTAGTGACTGCTGTGAATAGGGCAGCTGACAACAAGGGAAAGACCATGTGACCGCTTGGAAAGACAGCTGACAGGAGGGAAAAGACCCCAGCGGTGCTGGCATGGGTTAGCAACCCATGGTAGCAGTGGTGAGGCCTAGCAGCCTTATTACAACCAAAATTAGCTACAGCCAACATAGGGAAAATACCCCAAGAGTCAGCGAGAGCAGGGGTGGAAGATGACTCACAGGTGGATTACACGGTAACAGACATTGGAAAGGACACGACTATGACTTGGACCGGTGACTCAGTGAAGGATAGGGGCACGGACCTATCCACCAGTGCTAGAATTAGCAGCACTCAGGGCAAGGTGAGCGCATCTGTAGAGGGCAAAAGTAGCATAGTTGAGAACAAGATGCTTCAGGTTTGTCCTTGCGGCTGGCAGAAAGTAACATCAGTGAAAGGCCTCAGAACTCATCAGGGAAAGAAGAAGTGTGTGGCAAAGAAAGGGCAGAGTAGCCGCATTGATCAGTACTTCCTAAGAAGTCAGTCGAGTCAGTCGGATGAAGTCCAGCGGCAGGTAGAAAACCACAGTTCGCAGGATATCAGTAACGCTGCCACTGAGGAGGAGGGGGTAGTAAGAGAGGATGCAGGTGACACTGAGGCCAGTATGCTAGCCAGAGAAAGAACTATGGAGCAAAAGGTTAGAGTTAGATGGCCTAGAGCAAATGACAGTAAAGAATGGGAGATAGTTAATAGAGACTTGTCAGTAATCTTGAGTAGGCTTAGAGGAAATGCAATACAAAGGTTAGAAAAGATGGGAGATATAATGTATTCATATGGTGTAGAGAGGTTTGGGGTGCATGAGAGAAAGAGGAGTGAGAGGGTACAGTCAGGTAAGTCTAGGCGGCAGAGAGAAATAGAGAAGTTAGTCAAGGAAAGGAGACAGTTAAGAAAGCAGTGGAAAAAGGCTACAGAAGAAGAAAGGGAGGGAATTAAGGTGTTGCAAGAGGAGTTGAGAAGCAGGCTAGCAGTTCTTAGAAGGGCGGAGCATCTCAGGAAAAAGAGGAGGAAGAAGGAATATGCTAGGACAGGTTTTTTCAGGGACCCTTTTAAGTTTGTTAAAGGATTGTTCAGCCAGGAAAAGGGAGGGCAGCTTAAAGCAGAAAGGTTAGAGGTTGAAGAATATTTGAGAAACACGTATTCAGATTTGGAGAAGAATAGGATAGTAGGTTTCCCACCTGATATCCCTCCATTAGGAGGGATAGAGCATGAGATGGATGTCAGGCCACCTAGGTGGAAGGAAGTTCAGGAGGTGGTCAGGCGTGCAAAGGCTTCTTCGGCCCCAGGGCCTAATGGAGTCCCCTACCGGGTTTATAAAAGTGCGCCTGATACCCTTAAATTTTTGTGGAAACAGCTAAGAATAGTTTGGGAAAAACAAATTATACCAAGAGCATGGCGTAGGGCAGGGGGTGTCCTCATTCCTAAGGAGAAGGAGTCTGTGGACCTTAGCCAGTTCCGGATGATTTCTCTCTTGAATGTGGAGGGGAAGATTTTCTTTAGTGTAGTAGCGCAGAGACTAGCTAGCTACTTAGAAAGGAATAGCTTAATAGATACCATGGTGCAGAAGGCAGGAATACCAGGTTTTTCAGGGTGTTTAGAGCATACTAGCATGATCTGGCACCAGATTCAGGCAGCGAAGATTAACAAAAGGGACCTACATGTAATATTTTTAGATCTTGCAAATGCGTTTGGTTCAGTACCGCACAGCCTCATTTGGAGTGCGTTTGACTACTTCAGAGTGCCACAGGTAGTTGTTAACTTAGTGAAAGCATATTTTCAGGATATTAGGTTGTGTCTAAGTACAGCAGGTTTCACAACAGGTTGGCAGAGGCTAGAAATAGGCATCATGGCAGGGTGTACAATTTCTCCATTAGCATTTACTATGGCAATGGAAGTAATCATCAGGGCTTCTAAGTGGGTGGTAGGTGGGGAGAGACGGCAGAATGGGTTGCATCTTCCACCAGTTAGGGCTTACATGGATGACATGACACTGGTGACCACAACAATGCCATGTACAAAGAGGCTACTAGAGAAGGTAAATAAGAACCTCAAGTGGGCCAGCATGAAAATCAAGCCTAGTAAATCTAGAAGCATCTCGATATGTAGAGGGAAGTTAAGTGATAGGAAGTTTGTCATAGATGATGAGGACATCCCAACAATTAGGGAAAAGTCAGTAAAGAGCTTAGGTAGGTGGTACAATGTAGAGTTGAATGATAAGGAACAGGTGGTGAAATTTAGAAAAGATGTGGCTGAAGGATTGGATAGAATAGATAAATCAGAACTTCCAGGAAAGTTGAAGTTGTGGTGTTTGCAATTTGGGCTATATCCTAGGTTAATGTGGCCATTGTCAGTTTATGAAATTCCAATATCTGTTGTGGAGAGAATGGAAAGGTCGGTTAGCTCCTACATTAGGAAGTGGTTGGGCGCTCCTAGGTGCCTAAGTAGTGTTGCATTGTATGGAAAAGGGATACTTCAGCTGCCAGTATCTAGTTTAACAGAGGAATTTAAATGTACCAAGGTCAGGACAGAGCTCTTGTTATCTGGGAGTAAGGACGTGGTAGTTAGGAGTGTGGTTCCAAATCCAACCAAGGGGAGGAAGTGGAACCCAAGATCGGCAGTTCAGGAGGCAGAGGCAGCTCTTAGACATGCAGAGATTGTAGGTAATGTTCAGTTTGGCCGGGGAGGCCTGGGGCTTGGCTCAGGTAAACCGGTATGGAATACAGCAGGCCTCAAAGATAAAAGAAAGCTGGTTGTAGAACAGATACGCAGACAGGAAGAGATAGTAAGGGGTGCAAAGGTAGTGGCCCAGGCTAAACAGGGACAGTGGTTGAATTGGGAAAGTGTAGAGAAGAGGAAGCTTAGTTGGAGGGACCTGTGGAGTATGGAGGAGAATCGTATTAGATTCCTGGTAGGGGCTACATACGATGTGTTACCAACCCCCCAGAACCTAAAACTGTGGGTAAATGAGGACCCATCATGCCCATTGTGTTCACGTACCGCAACTTTAAAGCATATTTTGTCAGGCTGTAAAGTTAGCTTGTCACAAGGCCGATATACATGGCGACATAATCAGGTGTTGAAATGTTTAGCTGCAGGCATCGAAGGGAAACGAAGACAGGTGAATTCAGAAGGTGTTAAGGATAGGGGCTTAGTAATTCAGTTTGTCCGTGAGGGAGAGAAATACAGAAGGGATAAGTTAGTGAGGAGGCAAGGGTGTGGCCGCCTAGAAGGTGCTTGTGATTGGGAAATGCAAGTAGATTTAGGGGGAAAGCTTGTTGTTCCTCAGGAAATAGTCTGTACCAGGCAGAGGCCTGACTTAGTGTTGTGGTCAGTGAGTCAACAGATAGTTTATTTCATTGAGCTGACAGTTCCTTGGGAAGACTCAGTGGAAGAAGCCTATGAAAGAAAAAAGCTTAGATATGCAGACTTAGGAGCAGAAGCTGAGCAGCGAGGATGGAAGACTAGGATTTGTCCAGTGGAAGTGGGGTGTAGGGGATTCATAGCAAGATCAACTGT